CGGTTTCGGCAGCTGATGGAATGAGTGATCGATTTTTTCTCTGTGTGGCAGCATTGTACAGTCAGTGCTGACAATGTGTGAAAATTCACGAATTGAGGGGTTTTTCACGGATTTTTCGGCGAGTTTGACGGATTGGCAGGTTTTTTCCAGCTACGAACACTCCCCAGGTATAAGAGATGGCCCTGTGAAAATTGCATCCAGATCGCTTGGGTGGTTTGGCCGCCTATAGGGGAGATACATAGATACATACATACATACGAACTCAAATATATATTAGATAGAGGGTTCCGCGACTTGCACTAAAAATAGCAATATTACCTACAATCTCTTGCCGCCGGCCTAACTGATAGTCAGAATTGCGAACACGTGTTACCGATATGCGCAATCTACCGATTTTACATCGATAGGTTGTACATACGATAGTGTTATTATAGTAATCTATATTAGCAGTAAGTAGATCCCGGTTTTGCAGACAGGTTTACCAGCGCGTGTTGGGGTGCTAGAGTTCGATATGATTGTGCAAACCCGGTTTTACAGGGTGTTGCAGGCAGATTTATCAGCGTGGGTTGGGGTGCTAGTCTGCTAGTGTTCAATGAGATTACACAGGTCCGGTTTTGCAGGGCTTTGCATGCAGGGTTATTAGTGTGGGTTGGGATGCTAGAGTTCGATGAGGTCGCCGCACAGTCTTGCGGATTGCTAGATTGAGCTGGTCGGGAGCTTGCACGCAACACATATCATGGACTTGTAACGAAGCTAATTTAGCCATACTTATTTATAAGACTTTACACCGGCAGATTCGTTGACAGGGACTGGCTGTGGGATCGAGTGACCACTGTCCTACTGCCTTGACACTAATGAGGCGGGTGAGTGATTAGTATGCACCCGAGGCCAGGCCCTGTCACCGAATCTGCCGGTGTAAATTCTTATACTTCTTATTCTCTATATATACTGGTATCCTGAGTTGTACGGAGGCGGCACTGCATGCAGCTTGGTATTCGTGTACGTCACGTGATGACTAATCATAGAACAACGCTTCGTATGATCACGTACCATGCTACCTTAGCACAACGCTTCGTATGATCACGTACCATGCTACCTTAGCACAACGCTTCGTATGATCACGTAACATGGTCCTTAGCACAGTGCTTCGTATGATCACGTACCATGCTACCTTAGCACAAGGCTTCGTATGATCACGTACCATGCTACCTTAGCACAACGCTTCGTATGATCACGTACCATGCTACCTTAGCACAAGGCTTCGTGCTATAAGGTGACATTCGTCTAATTACTACAGATCTTACGCTCGATCTCTGCTAGGTGCTACACCGAAATGCGCTTATACTATATATAATCGGATGTACGGACAACGGACGGACTTACGACTGGCGGTACATGTTTTTGCTTCTTCCCGTATTATCGTTTAAGGGATTATTTCTCGTACGATCTCATAAGAACATTTCCGTTACGTATAAAGAGTTGCCGCCAGCGGATATGTAGGAGTCATGGAAACCATTTATATATTAAGCAATAATAGCAACAGCTTATGTACGTAACCGCAGCTGCAGCAGCAAAAAGATGCGCAGTATATTCTGGGGAAGACATATTCGTAGCGGTGTTGAATTTGTATAAATTTGTTTATGCTTTGTGATTAACGTCATCATTCATCACGTTGTTCTCATTAAGGTCATTAAAAAAAATTAAAATTAAGGTCAGATAAGAAGTCAATTGTGAACCGAACAGCGCGAGTGTGTAGACAGCAATGAAATAACGAAAGAATGTTTTTAATTAAATTTTTCGCATGTTGAAATATTCGACTCGTCTGCTACTAAAATTTGACGCTCGCGATACATTACTCGTCTAAATTTCTGCTCGTTTCGCAGGTAGTTGTGTCGCAGGAGTTGTTGGGCTGACAATGCCACGTTATTGCCTCTTCGGAGACACCGTAAACACCGCATCGCGAATGGAATCGAATTCATTACGTGAGTACACATTTATCTCCGCCATCTCCGCCACCAGTGGCGTCATAATGGGGGTGCGGGGGGGGGGACGCACCGGGTGACACTATCAGAGGGTATTTTTTAATCAGGGGTGATTTTAATTTTGCTAGTTGTTTATGTCACTACTCAGTATTGCCATTACATTTAGTGATATACGGGAGTTACGATTTACCAGTAACATTAGTACAAAAAAACATTACTAAGGATTCTGTATGGTCTGGTACGGGAGGAGGTCCATGGGGGTGACACCATGAGTTACCGCACCGTGTGACACCAACGTACCCTAGTGACGCCGCAGCCGCCACCGTACTCGTTCGACGTAAACATATCACGGGTTCTCGCAGACGTCACTAGGGTTAATAATAGGATCATCATCAGAATTCCCTATAAGGCGTGTTCACACACGAGAAAACCCGCGATGCTAATCGCGATGGAAATACCGAGATAATTGTGTCGTTGTTCACACAGGCGGAAATATCTCGCTAATCGCCGAGCGGGATAATTCTAATAATCGAACTGCGCATGCCTGATATCAAGCCGGAATATAACCCTTCCGGTCGCGCGCGTGCGAATTATGTACTACCGGGATTCGAGTTCGGTGTTCGATTCCACGTACACGGCAGTGCAGTCGTTGGTAGTAGTCTAGCTCTGTTACGTTAACGTATGCTACTCTAGCTATGTTACGTTAACGTATGCTACTCTAGCTCTGTTACGTTAACGTATGCTACTCTATGTCTGCACGTATTTACGTAAACATACCGGGATTATTTGCGCGAGCGTTCACACACACGTCACGGTGCAATTAATCGCGCTAATTCCCAAATAATCGCAGTCAAAAGTGCGATTTGCAGCGCGATGCTGATCGCGATATGTAGTGAGATTTTTGCGTTCACACTTGTAAAAATCTCGAGATTTCGATCGCGATGCAAAAACTGAGATTTGCATCTCGCTAATTCCCGCCGGTGTGAACGCGCCTAATATCTACTTCTGATCATGATCGTACACGCATAATTTATATTCTTACGTACTCAACTTGTTATACAACACGCGTCTGGTATTGTTATGCTCAGGAAACCAGCGAACTTGGATGCGCACCCCGTGTTGATCCGCAGTGCAGTCGCCGCGTTCCAATTGTCGTTATTATTTTGCTAAATCTATTTTTATATAAAAACTAGATCGTTCTAACACGCTGATTAAACGAGTGACAATTATTTTCTTCGCGCATTGCAGCTCTAAAGATTCACATCAGCTCAGAGACCAAGGAAATCCTAGATACGTTTGGTTGCTTTCAAATAAGCGAGAGGGGATTGGTGGATATGAAAGGTAAAGGCCAACTCGTCACCTTCTGGCTCTTGGAGGAGGTTTTGCAATCAGACACGCAAGAGAATCCAGGCACAGAAATTTGAGCACGCCATTCGATTTTATCAGAGTATGGTGGCGGGGATCGAAAACTCGTTAGTAAACCGCCAGCGTTCAATCGTTAAGGTAGCTTTGCTTGCTAGTGCGTTTATCGTTAGACGCCGTAGACTAGCTGTGATTCGAGAATTGTCTGTGAACTCCACGTAGTAGATCTAGATATAACCTTGAAGTAATCATTCTGTCAGCCAGAATGATCAGTCAGAATAATTACTCCAAGATATAACCCACGTAGACTGTTACGGCGATCGTTATCTGCCGTGCTTGAGAGGGAGGATTACGGGTCTGTTAATATAGGGGAGGGTTTGGTATGTTTGGGGGGATAGAGTTGACGCGAGCGTCGATCATCACCGATTATTGCACACGGCAGTGGCAGCATTTTACATATGCATCTAGATCAAGAGTATATGATAGAGATCGCTATTATGTACTCTTGATCTAGATTGAATTCCTGCGTGTTATCTAGTCTGGGTGTCTGCCTAGCTGTATAGCTGTGTAGCTGTAGCACATTAATTGCCACTTAATTACTTTGTTCTCATGTGCATATAAATAGAATAAGCAGTTTATCTTCGCGGACACTTCTTCTCCTTGTAGACCTGCTATAACTCATATAGTCTCTTTGGACGTTTATAAGAACCAAGGATTCGATTAGCGTGTTTTTAGCGAATAAGTTGACCGTCAAAATACGTTCGTGTTGTTACCGGTAGATGTCGGTAGTGAACACGCACGTGTGAAACCCATAGAACTTCTATTTCTAGTTCTATGGTAAAAAATTATTCGTCCGTGCATGAATAATGTGTTTTGTAGGGCTGTCCCGCTTGTTATAGATGCCCAACCCGTGTAACTAGTGCAATGTAATTTGTAACGTATGAAATGTGAAAACCTATATAGATGATAACGTGAACAATGGCCTATATATATGTTATGATTGTATATATATGTTGGAAAATAATCCTACAAGTACATGACAGTAGCGTGCCCATGCTACATGGAGAACATCCCAACTCAAAAACCGCGTCTAGACGCTTAGTTTAGTTAACTATTCACATATTGTTGTTTATATTATTTTTATTTATTTATTATTATTATTTATTATTATATTTATTGTTATATATCACACGCAGCTAGTTGTTCTATATCGCCAGAAAAATAAGGAGCGGCAAAATACACACAATACGCAGCGTACAATAACTTCTGTTCCGTAAATCATATTTTCTCACCAATATGCGATCCAGAGAACTTGTTTTACGTATCATGAACGAATGCTACAACAGTAGGACCTTTTACCGGGTTCTATATATGGCTGACGGCATGACTAATCTCTCTTCTAACCTCAACAAACCTTTCCCCATGCTGCGCAGTACGGCCATTTCCTTCTGACATTATACCCATGATATATGTCACATCGCTATGCCTACATTAGTTATGATAATTACGTGTAACCTGTAAACTGCGCCTGCAGTCACAATAGGCGGGAACCGATCTATAGTCCTACGGGTCGTTGGTCCTACGGGTCGTTGGTCCTACGGGTCGTTGGTCCTACGGGTCGTTGGTCCTACGGGTCGTTGGTCCTACGGTTATTAGTAAGAGGGGTAGAGTGAATGACCAATTTTTTTTTAAATCACAATTTTTTTTATTTTTTTTATTTTTTATTTAATTTATTTTTTATTTAAATTTTTAATTGTATTTGTTTACATTTTCTTTAAAAAAAATTCCCCCAATTTTATTATATGTATGTGGCNGCTGTCTGTGACAGAGTGAAGGGCTATAGCTCTAGAGCTGTCTGTGACAGAGCGAAGGGTTATAGCTCTAGAGCTGTCTGTGACAGAGTGAAGGGTTATAGCTCTAGATCTGTCTGTGACAGAGTGAAGGGCTATAGTTCTAGAGCTGTCTGTGGCAGAGCGAAGGGTTATAGCTCTAGAGCTGTCTGTGACAGAGCGAAGGGCTATAGCTCTAGATCTGTCTGTGGCAGAGCGAAGGGCTATAGCTCTAGAGCTGTCTGTGACAGAGTGAAGGGCTATAGTTCTAGATCTAGA